ACTACCAAAAGCTTTACTGTTAACTTTGAATTAGCAGTGTTGTTTGCCCTTGCATTAAAAGGCAACTCCATGGTATTTACTAAATATTGCAAAAAGTCTTATTTCCTTTGAACAGGCAAGAAAGGAGGCTAGATCTCATTTCCCCCCATGGATTCTAAATAGACTTAAGAAGCTGCAAAAAGTGGTGCCTATGAAGGCTTGTTTCCCCTGTCGATGGGACAGAAGAAATCAGGAGAGAGCAGGGGAGTTATTCTTTGGGAGCTAATTCTTTACCTCCTTTTCTACCCTTACCTCCTAACAGCATACACATTTGAAGCTGTATGAGGTTTTGTTTGTTTTCAAGAGATGTTTGAAAGAAGATCAAATGCTTGTGAAAAGCACTGGATTGGAGATCCTAGAAACTGAAGTGTCCCGGAAGCTGTGTGAGCCTGGAAATATCCTGGATTTCTATTTATTTTGGCAATTTTACTTAAAACTAGCAAGGGCTGGAGTTCATGCTACAATTAAATTTTCCCTAAGCACCATGAAATGAAAACACATATTACATTTGATGTTAACTGGTTGAGAAAAATGGTAGTTTTCTGAAAAGTTCATCGTTATGACCCTGAAATGTTAATGGGTCTTCACCTGGTGTGAGAGCCCAGCCACCATTTAAATTGAAATTAATCATAGTACCAGGGGTTCTCTGTGTTGGAAGGGGTCCGAGGTTATTGAGATCTGTTTTGTCACACACTTGGGATTCTACTAGCACATCAATGAAAAGTGTTGGCAAGTGTGGGGTTGATGTTTTTGGTGACATGAGACTTTCTTCCACTTCAGAGCCATTTCTTTTTCATATGGTTCTAATTTTGAGAAGTACATAAAGTAACATTAGCTAATACTTTAATTGTGTTTATGTGCCATACACCATTTGAACACCGTTATATTTTTGTGTGTACACACATATGCATAAAATCTCTGTAAGTCCTTAGAACAATTTAGGATAAGGTAGATTCACTTATTACCCCTATTTGAGAAATGAGTAAACTGAGGCATGGCTAAGTCACATGATTTGCCCAATATTACACAGATATTAAAAGAAAGATCCAGAGTTTGACTTCAGGCAGTTTGAGTCTACATCTGTGCTTTTCATAACTATCTTATACTGCCTTTCTGATATAATATTTATAACTCTCCCGGATGCTTCCTACAGAGGTTTGCACACTGTAGAAGCTCAATAAAAATATTTTTCCACAATTTTGTTTCAGGATCACAAATTCACACATATTCCAACTAGTTTTACACACAATCATCAATTTACCCTCAGAGAAAAAGTTGAAGTTGAAATATGGGGATTTTAAGCGATGATTAACACTTTGTGTGCTTTACAAAATCATTGGAGGATCTTGCCAGTATGTAACACTCACTGTAAAGTATTTAGCCAGTTGCCACCTGTAGCAGAATGTCCTTGAACAAATTCAGTTTGAGCTGGAGAAGGACATTCTCAACACCAAAGACCTGAATCACCAAAGCTCCTTGGCCTTTTCTATTTTATTCTGTACTTACTATCCTACGTAGGATGATAGAAAGGATTTTTCCTCAGAAGTTCAATTTATTTACATGGTTTGCCTTTCTACCACTGTGTATCTGCCTGTATTACTCATCTGTCCATCGACCCATCCATGCATCCAGTATTAGACGTCATATATCACTAATCCTTTGGTATTGATACTAAAAAGGAGATGAAAAGACAACTGATTCTAATTTCTTAGTTTCTATTATATGGCAATCACATGTAGACATTCAAAGGATTGTTTTAGAGTTGATAAAACCCATTCTAAAAGGAAACATTTTAATGCATAGTTGGGAGCTATGGGGGCTTTCTTTTGCTAGAAAGTTTTATTACATTTTAAAAGTTCTTCTTGAATAAAGTTTGTGACTGGGTATAACTGTGGTTTACCTAAACTTTACACAGGACATAAACTCTGAACTCTTCTCCTGTGGTTCCTGGAGAGCCATCTCCATTTATGGACCCTGCTGACCTGCAGAGTGTTGGCTTGTGCTGAGGCCAGCCCATAGTGTGCTGTCCTAGCAAGAGAACTCAGCATTTCCTGACTGAAGGGGTTGGCCAGATGGCTCGGGATCCAGCCTGGTCTTTGTCTGGTCCTTTCCACCAGTGTCTACTTTGCCACCACAGCAACCGTGGCTTAGCTCCCATCTGGAGCTTTGCTGCACTTCTGATTGGATCTTTTCTTCATGGATTGCACCTTGGGCATCTTCGTTTTATGGAAGGGATTCTGGGTTCTCAGTGCACCATGGGGGGAGTCAAAAGCATGATGGGGGCATGAGGACCAGGTAGAAAGGACAGTGCCTTCTATCATGGCTTCTTCAAAGTAGGCTACTTGGACGTAAAATTTCACTTGTGCGTTTAGCCATTGTCTTACCCACTAAAGCCATCATTTGCTTGATGGAATACTTCTGTCTTGTCCCATCTCTTAGCACTGCTGATTCCCACTTTGAATGATGCTGAGACTTTTTGCTTTTTTCTCTGTGAAGACCTTGCTCCTGCTGGTGAAGTCAAAGGAAGTGAGGGAGAAGATCTCTAAGATCTCATTCCATGAGGCTACATAGCCATTGTCCACTCTTAGGGAAAGCCAACATTCTAGCTCTTATTCACTCCCTTCCTTCTGCTGGAAAAATGTCACATCAGTGGTAGAATCCATGTGTCCATTTCTGTCTCCTTTTTTCCTTTTGGAATTCTTCCTTAATCAACTCACTTTCATTATGTGTTGTTTGTCTGCTGGTCCAAAGGAAACATCTTAGAAGCAAAGCAGGTCTTTACCCACTTATGGATCTCAGGGTCCTGGTCTTTAAAATGAAGGGATGGAATCAGATAATTTCTAAGGGCTCTTCCAGTTCTAATGTAACACAGTCCTAGTGTGATTCACAGAGAGAAACTCACAGGGTTTTAGATTAAAAAAATCTAGATTTGTATGCTTGTGTGTGCAGGGGAGTAGTGAGAGAAGTGTGGGAGAGACAGAAAGAACTTTCTAGCATCTGCTACCAAAATGCAGCAGTTGGATGTCTGAAGTCTTCATTTGAGATGAACTGGGTCCTTGCTCACCCAAGTTCATATACTGAAGTGTCAAACCCTAGTACCTCAAAATATGACTGCCCAGACATGGGGTCCTTATAGGGATGACTCAGTTAAAATGTGGTCCCTAGGGGGCGGCCTAAGCCAGTCTGATTGGTGTCCTAGACAAAGAAGATATTTACACTGACACAGAAGGAAGACAGTGTAGACACGGAAGGAAGCCAAGGAGCAGAGCCCGGGCCCAAGACAGAGCCTTCTCCATGGCCCTTCTCCATGCGGAGGGCTGGCACCCGAGTTTGGACTCACGGTCTCTCTGTGAGGACAGAAAAGACCTGAGGTGGAAGCCACTCAGCCTGTGGTCCTTTGTTATGGTCGCCTTCGCAAACCAATACATCTTTTGTGTCTGATTCCAAAGTGGAGAACAAAGTTCAGCAGCCTCTCCAAGGTTACCTCACGGGCCTTTAGGTAAATACAGGATGTTCTTTGTCCTAAACCCTGGACTTGACTAAAAAGTGCAGACTCCAATGGCATTGCAGGAAAGAAAATCTGGGAACTTCGATGACACAACTCAGTCTTGCTGAGAATTTGGGGCTAATATTTAACTCTGAACATATATTGACATGGGCAGTTCTTCTACAGGAGATCTGTGCAAAATTTTAAAATGCATGTCAAAGCCTTGGTTTTGATCTAAATTCTTTTACTCTTTTTTTTTTTTATTGTGTGGGGGGAGAGGGTGAGTCTTGTTTGCCTCTTTTATAATTATTACTTTCTGTTTTTCATTCTTCCCCCTTTCTTTGTACTCTCTTGGGCATTATTCCCCCTCCCACATCTTCTCCGTCTTATTAGGGCCCTTCTGTAACTGGTGACTCCTACTTCCACCAGGGCCACCTCTCTTCATTTGCTCCATAGCATTTTCTGCTTGTCTGTATTGCTGTCTGCTCCTCTTTCATCCTTGCCTCTGCTTAGTCCTCGCCTCCATTTTTCTTGCCTCTGGGGTCACAGTTTCTAACTCCTGTCCCTTCTCTGCTCTTCCTTCTGTTCTCTGACCTACTGACTTGCTTCCGTCCCCTCCTTCCGCTCCCCTCCTGGGGGTGTTTGTGGCCCACCTCTCCTTCTCTTTGGAGACTTCCTTTTCTTGTGGGTAGAATAATTGCATTGAGAATGGGCGGTTGGAGTGGGGTCCGTGGAGCAGCTTTGGGTCATCCCTCAAGGTCGGGCTCCACCAGAAGCAGGAGGTAGCACTGGCACTGCAGAGGGTCTATGCCTCAGCCACAAGGTCCCATCCCGGAATGTGGGGCCCATCTTGGACGCCTACTTCCTCTCCAGTTGGAAATCGGAAGGCACCGGGTCCTGAGAGCACTCCTCCTGCCTCTTCACCTGCGCCTTTCTTCTGTGGCCCTGGCTCCCCTCCTCAGGGTCGGCTACTGTGTTCATCGGGACCTCGTGTCCCCTGGGGTGGTCCCCTGACATCTTTACTAAGCCACCATGTCCTCCGTCAGCCTCAGCGGAGGTTTAGGTTGAGGAAGCGGCAAAGATGTCACTGGGGACTTATTGGTCGTTCTGGACAACATTAATTTCAGCTTAAAGGATTAAAGCCAGGCATTGACTTTTTAAAATTTTCAAAAGAGTCCTCACAGAGACCCGAAAGAGACCTTTCTCTTTGCTTTCTCATTTTCTTCACTTCCTCTTTTCCTTCTTCCCCTCCTCTTGGGTTCTCACTGATTCTAAAATGTTCCATCGATGCCGTGCTCGTCTGTTCCTTCGCTAATTCGGGGGAGTCTCGGGTGCCTCCCCGGGTGTCTCCGCCCTTCTCGAGCCCTGCTCACCGTCTGACTGCCAGGAAGAGGGGCCTGCAGATGTAGATCTTCAGCAATTTCTAACCAAACAGATTTCTGTTTTTAAGGCTTTGTCTACAGCGAGCGCTTACCTTGGGGGTCTTGGGCAGGTCGGTGTGGCGCTGGGCGCGCACGGAGCGGGCTGACTTGGGGGGCTTGAGCGGGGCGCAGTACATCTCCAGCCGCCGCAGGTCGCAGCTCCGGAAGCAGCACTCGTCCACGATGCCGGTCTGGGGCGCCCGCCGACTGCTGGAGCCGTACCCCGTGGGCTTGTCTGCAAGGCAAACACGGGGGGCGCGGGTCAGAGTCATCCGGGGTCCTACCCGGCCCGCCCTCGGCCCCCGACCTCACCTCAGGGGCCTGACCTGCAGGCCACATGGCCAAGGCCCAGTCTTAGCCTTGTCTTTCAGACGGGCTTAGTCAGGAGGCCACGGGGAATGCTCCTGGAAAGAAAACTGCATCAGATTCCCCTCGTCTTATTTCTTTATTTAAAAACGGAAGGAGAATACTTGGTCCCATTTACAGGGTTCACTGTGATGTCTCAGCACGTGTGTGTGCTAATGACCATCTCAGGATACTTAGGGCGTCCGCCATCTCACGCTTTTGGAAAGAGCACTGGTTTCTATACATGCTGCTGGGAAAACAGGATCCTTAATCGATTTTAGCAAACACACATAGATATTCTATGCAGGGCAGCTCAGTTGTTTTCTTTTTTCCTTATCTGCTTCCATTGTAAAATCAGATTGAACAGGAAAGAGGGCTTTTTTGGGGGGGCGGGTACCGGGGATCAAACTCAGGACCTGGTGCTTGTGAGGCAGGCAGCAGAACCACTGAGCTAAATCCCCAGCTCAGGAAACAGGTTTTAAGTCTGGAAAGGGCTCCTCGTTTGACCAATATGAAAACTGAGGCTCAAGTTGGGAATGACTTGCCCGAGGTAATTCATATGATAAGCGGCGAAGTCACGATTCTAACTCAGACCTACTTCCCACAAAGCCTGGGAGACCTTCTGTGTGACTCTGGCCAAGTCACTTGAGTTCTCCAGGGCTCAGTTTACCCCTTTGTATAGTGGGGTTAATAATACTGTTCTTGTCAGAACTGAAGATAAAGTTAAATGATGTGTGAGGGAAATAATGTATGAAGAGTACTTAGCACAACACCCAACACACAGTGGGTCCCTAATAATTATTGGTTGCTTCTTTTGAGTACCCTGTCTGGGGTCTATGAAGAAGCTAGGTTAGTTTTCATGCAAACGATTTGGAACTTAGAACAGGTAACAATATTATCAAAATAGGAAACCCTCTCATCATCCCAGAGAGACCAGAACAATTATTTCTGTTTTCTTATAGAGTAAGGAATGAACCGAATGTCCATCCTTCAAGGGATTCTGATTGCCCAGAGAGAACAGCGCCATGACCAAATTTCTTTTGATATTTGCTCATCAATTGAACCTCTTTAGTTGGCAAGAAGTTTTGATTTGGGCACAGTTTTCCTGCTTTTAGAATGAGAAGCAACTGCAGAATAAGCTTACACGGAACTTCACCTGTACCTAATTATTTGTAAGTTTGTTGTCACAGTGGATCTTATAGAAAGTCAAATCATGTCTATTGATCAGTTTAGCAAACAATGAAGCCGATCCGACTCAAGTGAGGATAAAGAGATGGGATCTTGGACTTTCCTCATCTCCTGCAGCTCTTTGAGGAAGTGAGGTACCCAGGCTTTCTCCCCTGATTTCCAGGATTCATGGAAGAAAACTTGTGAACCACTGACCCACAAGAAGCTAACCGCTATGGAGATCAGCATGGGGATTCCTCAGTAAACTAAAACTACAAATTCCACTTGACCCAGCTATTTCCCTTCTAGGTATCTTCTGGAAAGGATTAAAGACATCATATTACAGTGATTCATGCACACCCATGTTTATAGTAGCACAATTCATAATAAATAGCTAAATCTTGGAAGCAGCCTCTATATCCACCAGCAGATGACTGGATAAGAAAGGAAAGGGAAATTTATGAGAAAAGGAAAAAATGGAAACAAAGTCTTTGTAAATAGGGAGAGGTGGTAGGGGTGAAGGGAGGACAGGGAATGGGGAAAAAATAAGAACCAAGATACATCATGTACAGGTACAAGCACCCAATGATAAATGTAAATGTATTGTATACCTAAAATGCACCAATAAAAGAATTTAAGGAAAAAAAAATATATTCACGTACACACACACACACACACACGCACACACACACCCACAAAAGAAAATGTGGTATTTACACACAATGGAGCACTACTCTGCCACAAAGATTAACTTGATTAACTTGTAGGAAAATGGATGGATCTTGAGACTGTAATGTTAGGTGAAATAAACCAGACCCACAGCTTTAAAAGTTGCATGGTTTCTCTTATAGGAGAAACCCATATTATAAACAAAGAGCAAAATAAAATATAGATAACAGGAAGTGGAGAGAGAGAGATCATTCTCAAGAGATGGAGGAAGGGAGGAGGGGAAGGAGAAGGGGAGGAAAAGGGGAATTACGATGTGTTGTGTGCATCCACACAAGGGATGCGATTGTGGTGTATGGCAAATGTGGACCAATAAAAAAATCCAATGAATGATCTAGCATATATTCCATTGTAAGTCCTGACCCAAGAATATATTACATTTTTAAATAAAAAGAATCTTATGTTTGTGTAATAATGAGCCCAGACTTAAGGGTAGGGTTCTGAAGGTCGAACTCCGTGCACTTCCTCACTGGGGAGATCAGGCCCGATGGCAGTGGGGAGCTACCAAGCCAGACTGGCCGCCTCGCCGTGGGGAGGGCCAACTGTTCTTGGCATCAAATAAGAGCTCAGATGTTTTCCTGATGCTTGGCACAGGAGCCTGGTGGCTGCACCTTCTGCAGTGCAGGTTTATTGTCATTCTGAGGGCAGCTGGAGGCAGTGGCTTGGTGGGAGTTCATTTGTGGTCTCTGGGTGGGGCCTGCTGTGCCCTTGCGCAGTGAGCCCTGTGGGCTCCTGGTCATGGGGTTTGGGAGGGACCCGGCAGCTGGCCCCAGCTGATCCTCAGCAGTGCTGTGGCCGCCATGGGAGGGAAGACTAGTGAAGACACTGACTCTCTCTGACTTGTCAGCCAGGCCCCGGCAGGCCAAGCCTCCCCGGGTCCCCTGAGCAATGTAAACAGTGTTTTTTCTGTTTTGTTTTTATAATCTTTTCCTGGGACTGTAAATTAGAGGAGAGACACAAATGAGCTTGCGTGGTTCTTTGTAATTCACAAAGGACTTCCACATACTTTGTGCTAAGTGGCTAGCCAATCAAGAGCAGTGAATCCACTTAACTTTTTCTCTTGGGGTAGGGAGAAAGGAGAAGGTGACTCAGTGTATTTTGCGGTGACTGTCCCTGCAGTCCCCTCCTACAGGTGCCTCTTTGTTGAGACTATATACTTCCTAATGGGATTCATTTTGTGATTATGGAAGAGTAATTTGATATTTGGAGTTGCTGGTAGGAGTGGCTCCACAAACTTTCAGATTTGGCCAATTCAGAAACAACTGATTTCAAAACTCAGGCATATAGTTTGAAGATGGAGTGGGTAGGTTTGGGATTCTAGGACCTAGTTAGCGTTTCCATTTTAGGCATCTCTAACTTAATTCTGCTTCTGTGATCCTTACCTGCTACAGGAGAAAGACACAACCTTCATCCTAGGACAACGCAGAGCCTTTCTATCTTCCCATGTATTGCATATTCCTTTCTTGGAACTATCAATAGCCATGACATTCACCACAGGAAGTAACAGCACACACCCCACTCCACCTCTAGACTTTTGTCTCTTAAATAAGCTCAGAGTCTAACACAATTCAGTCTATAAAGTAGCGGTGCTGTTTTTTTTTGGTCCATAGACTCATGAATTTTGAAAGAGAATTTTAGGACTTTTCTATACTGTTCCATAAAGAAAATTGATCTTATGTCCATATCTGCTTTTTAAACTCTTACTGAAGTAGTGGTGTACAGAATTGGATTTTCCCATAAAGATAACTACCAGTTATTTCTAACTATTGCAATCCTAGAGAGATGTTTTTCTTTGTCTATTCATAATGTCTACAATGGACTTCTTGTATTCTATTCAGGATATATGAATATGACAATTGTTTACCTAATGCCTTTTAAAATTTAATTTATCCTTTGAAGTATCCTATAAGCTTGATTTCTGGTTCGACATGAAGATATTCAATTAAAAAATCATCATTTTTTTCACCATTTGGGAAGCCACAACTGTGGGTCATAATTTTGTCATTATCTTCAAATGCCTCATATTCCTTATTTTTTCAGAGCCACCTAGAGATCCCAGAGAGATTTGATATTTGCTGTCATTTAGGGATAAAGATATTTGCTGCTATGAGTTAAGACAAGAAGCCTGACACAATGCATTTTATTTTATTAGAACATCAGTATAACAATTCACCAATATAAATTTTGAGAAAAATAATTATTAAAATGACTTCTAAATTACAGCTAATTTTAGTCATTTTGACTAATATTTAAATGAGACAGAATAATTGTCCCATCCTTGCCTTTAAACATTCCTTATTATGTAATTCTGCTCTGATGGGTAGAATCAGAATTGGTAGATGAAAGGAAAAAAATGATTGTTACTATAATTATTTTAATTATATTATCAGAAAGAGGAAACATTGGAGAATCAGTATTTAGCAATTTGAACTCAAAAGTGTTAAAAACCAGACATACTTCTTTGAAAATAATGCACTTCCCCTTGCATGAAGCAGTCAAGTAACATCTATATGAACATCTGTTAAAAATCCTAGGAGCAGATTCCTGTGTTGAACACAGTGGATGACTGCTACGGTCTTCTCTTTTGCAAAATGTCTGTAAAGAAGTGGGAGAAAAATTGACAAGGGCTAACTAGCTCTTCAGTAGAGCTGGAAGCCACTTACACTGTCTCCAGGAAAGAGCTTCAAATATTTCCAAATTTAGCAGATGAAAACTTGTTTTCCACTTATTATTTGAGTTCCTAAGATGCTCAAAACATTTTTATTGTCCTTCCTGAGTGCACCAGCAAAGGCCAGGTGAGTGGGACAGTGACTTCTGCAGTGAGGTGCAGTCCCAGGGCCCTGTCGTGCTGGCCTTATGAAGGGTCTATGTATTCACTCAGCTGTTAGAGTGAACAGGCATGCACAACATTCCATGGATTTTTTTCTTACTGACAGTCTTAACATTGAAAATGTATATTTTTGTATGTTTATTTTGTCAGTAGTTTTGCTTCAGAGG